CAAGCATCTAAAAAAATGTTTATTACTTTACCTTGCTTGTTGATGTTTTGGGAGCACCATAAAGGGTTGTGACCGTTCAGATCCCCAATAAAAAGAACTGGACGAGGCATTTGGTTATAGATATCTAGGAGTTGTTGTGTATCCATGGTACGGTCTTGTGGAAGGTATATATTACAGATGGAAAATAAATAATCTTTGTGAACTCTGGTTGCAACAACTTGAAGATCAGAATTAATGTTGATTGATTCGGAATATATGGATTTATGTATAGCTATTAAAACTCCGTGGTGACTATGGTTAGGGTTTTGGGATGTCTTTTCTGTATACATCGAATTTTTTCATATAAAACTTGTCGTTTATTGTGAGGTGTGTCTCTTGTAGGGCAATGCAAAACGGGTCTATATCTTGTATTAGTATTTTTAAATCGTTAAAGTGAGTTTTTAAACCATTACAGTTCCATTGAAGTAACGACATGTTTAGGTATTTTATATATACATAGACACATACAACAATATACACTGTATACATACATACATACATATACACGTATATACACAGATGACACTCATACATAAACATACATATTCCCATATATAGACATCCACACAACACGTATAGAAATATATACAGGTATACACATACACATAAACGCATAGAATATAGGATGTATACAAACATACATTCACACGTTTACAGATGCGCACGCGCGTACACACACATACATACACACATACAATGTTTGTGTAATATTATATGCCCACAAATATATACAAATGTACATAACAAAGAAAGCATGCAGAACTATATACATGAACATATATACTTTTGTTAATTTCATATTTTCTGTATATATGGTATGAATGTGTTATATCGAACATCACTATAATTATTGTCCATGTGGCAGATTGTTATATTTCTAAACAAATTAAAAAAAAAAAAAATACTTTTCTAAAAGGCTAAATAATTATTTTTCGGAATAAACAGTCGATAGATACCTAATTATTTAAATATAATATCAGATCTAGAGTTATTAAACTACAGTAAATATATTTAAGGTTATAATCGTATCCACGAATTGATTTTATATTTTACTTCTTCTTTCACACAAGTACAATGAAACAGTTTTTTTAAGAATGCTATTACTTTGATTAGGTGGATTTGAAATACTTTTTAAAACTTAAAAAAAATAATTTAAAGTTTACATTAAGTAAGAAAATTTCATTTAATTTCCTTGAAAACACCTGATTTACGTTAAACAATCATAGTTTTTAGAAATTATTATTTATATTTTTTTGTCACTCTCCGTTACCTTATACAACTTTCTATATTATATATTGTTTTTTTTTTTTAATTTTCCGCTTTCCAACGATATATTATAAGTATACCATCTGACTAGTATTTGCGGAGATCCATTTTCGACATGGATAAGCGTTTTTATTTTTTTCAAAATAAATCATCAAATTCTTTCAAAAGTTATATTTAGCCTGTTTTCATTATTTATATGAATGAGAAATAGTTAATTGTTTAAAATAAACCAAATTAAAGGTACTTTAGAGGAAGACGCATATGAACATTGGGCATTTAAGCGCTCTAAAGTGACATCAACGGGGATAAGGTCTAAATGATATTAAGGACCACCTAATTATTCAATGATACACCGCGTTTTATCAAAATTATTAGAGCCGTTTTTGAGAAAATTGTAAACATGTATTTCAGCGTTGATATGAAGTTGCATTTTCGGTTAGCCGATTTTAAGGAAAACGTTGATAGGACATCTGAGGCATATACCAATACGTAATAATTGTAACCAGCAGGTCAGACACTTGGTTAGACTTCTACATTATAGACTCTGTACAAAATCTCCTCTCCTCTTCTCAATTGCCAGTATCATTCTTATCATCTCACGATCTTATACAAATAACATATAATATCCAAACTCCTTCAATCCACCCTCGAACTATCACCTTCCGTCACCTAGATTCCCTTACTCGAGAAAAAATATTACCTGACCTAGAAACCCTAGACTGGGACGGAATATATTCTTGCTCTTCCATCGACTCCATGGTTGACATTCTTACCACCAATCTTCTCAATATTCTCAATACCCATGCTCCCCTCTAAACCTCTACCTTTCGTCACCGGCCTGCTCCTTGGATGTGTCAGGAAATCAAAGATCTGCAGAAGAGGCGCGACGCTGCCCGAAGACGTTTTAGACGTACGAGGCTTGCAGATGACTACCAAGCGTTCAGGGTGCTTCGCAACTTGGCACAGACAAGGATCCGGCGTGCGAAAACTTCCTACTTCCATGAAACCCTTTCCTCAGCTCCTGATATCAAATCGAAATGGCTACTGCTTCGTAAACTTTCCATTGGTAATCCTTCCAGATCCCCTACCGCAGCCTATCCTGTATCCTCCGATGATTTAAACTCTTATTTTATATCTGTCGCTAATACCTCTTCTCTACCTTCCTCTTCTGGCTTTGCTCCAGAGATATCCTATAACGACAATAACTTTTATTTTTCCGACATTTCTCCCACAGACTTGTTAACCGCGTTAATGAAATCCCACACCAATTCCATAGGGCCAGACGGCATTCCTGTCAAATTAATAAAAATATGTCTACCTGAAATCCTCCCAGCTCTCCTTTTTATCTACAATTTCTCCCTTCAGAATTCAGTATTCCCTACCTCTTGGAAAAAAGCCATTGTCCTTCCTTTAAATAAAAAGCCTAATCCATCCTCACCCGAAGATTTCCGTCCAATTTCAATTCTTTCTAACCTCTCAAAGCCTCTTGAAAGACTGGTGCAATCCCAAGTCTCCAAGTTCCTCGAAAATTCCAACCAATTTGATCCTCTCCAATCTGGTTTCCGTCCCGGCTATTCCACACAATCTGCCTTAATTAAAATTACCAACGACATTCAATCTGCAATAGATGATAGAAAATTAACTGTCCTTATTCTTCTAGACTTCTCCAAAGCTTTCGATTCCATCAACCATTCCATCCTCTTCAACAAACTAAAATCATTATCTTTCTCCAATAGTTCCATCTCTTGGTTCCAATCTTTCCTCTCCCAACGCACCCAAGCAGTCTCCATACCCAACCAACCACTATCTGCTTTCCTTTCTTTATCCTCTGGAGTTGCCCAGGGTTCAAGCATATCTCCTCTCCTTTTCAGCTCCTACATTAACGACCTACCTAAATCAATTTTCCATTGTTCCCATCACCTTTATGCAGATGATTCCCAGATCTACCTATCCTTTTCTCCCTCTGAGTTACTGGGGGCATTTGCCAAGATTCAAGAAGATCTTGATCGAATCAATGCCTGGGCAAATGTAAATGGATTAAAGTTAAATGCTGCCAAAACTCAGGCCATCGTCATTGGTTCCAAGCCCCTCATTAGATCCCATACTGACTTTCCCATATTACACCTTAATGACCAGCCAATTTCCTTCTACTCCTCTGTTAAAAATTTAGGATTTTTCATAGATCAAACCCTCTCCTGGACCAACCATATTTCTCACATTTCCCGTCGGACAATCTCTACCCTTAAACTATTTCATCGCTTCCGCCATCTCCTACCTCAACATATCCGTAGACTCCTAATTTCCTCTCTCATCTTCCCTCACTTTGACTACAGCTGTGTGGTGTATGATGGCCTCTCGGTGGAGCTCCGTGATAGACTGAAAAGATTAATGAATAGCTGCGTAAGATTTGTTATTGGTGCCCCGAGGTACTCCCATGTCTCTCACCACTACACTGAGTTAAGGTGGCTCTACCCCTCCTTCCGAAGACAATACTTTCTAGGTACGTTCCTCTACCAAATCATCAACAATCATCGTCCTTCTTACGCCTACAACCTTCTCCAGTTCAAAACCTCAGTCCATTCCCTGTCCACAAGATCTCGACCTTCTGACCTTTACATGCCTTCTCACAGATCTGCCTCATTCCAAAATTCCTTTATTGTTCGCTCTGTCAATTTCTGGAATTCCCTCCCTATCAAAATTCGACATTCCCCCTCCATATCCACATTCAAATCCCTCCTATTCCAATTCCTATCACAAAAACAGTCAGATACTTGCTAACCATTCGAGTGGATTTTATTAGAGAATTTGATATTTTTATTTTTTAATTCTTTATTTTTTTCGGAAAAGTGTATACTGATCTAAATAGCTTTAAGTTTCTTGTAATAGTATTAATGGTTTTGTATATAGTTTAGTTTGTTTTGTATATAGAGTTTTTACCTTATATTTTTTTTACATTATTTCTTTTTTTCGATTTATTTTGTTTTGGCCAGATGTAATATTTTAATTTTGTTCTAATTTGTTATTCTCAAGGGACTGTGTCCCAGAATAAAGTTATTTTTCTATTTCTATTTCTATAATATCAGTTTCGTCCCACTTTTCGTTTTCGAGCTAGAGTGTTCACATACACACAGACACAGACACACAGATCATTTTTCGGGACTTGGTTATTTGGACTCAGGGTACCTCAAAACGTGTATTTACGTTTAAAACTCAGACTCGAAAATTTTCTCGATCGCAATACTTAACCTTACTATATATTACATATATAGGTATGCGAAAGTAAAAAATATATGTCATGTTTATAGACGAAAGGAATAAATGAAACAATACAAAAAAAGAATTAAACAGTAAAAAAATAATTAATAAAGATAATAGACATAATATTAAAATTAGAGGTAAAGTTATATTAAAACTCGGAATAAAATTTAAATGTATATAAATACACACGCACTAACTTATATATATATATATATATATATATATATATATATATATATATATATATATATATATATATATATATATATATATATATATATATATATATATGTGTGTGTGTGTGTATGTGTGTGTGTGTGTGTTAAAAAGATAGTATACAGTTTTTTTAGATTAAATTTCTTTGCCTTCTCATTACTCATTAGTTGTTTATTTTTTAGCTTACAAATTTTCTCTTTAAAGCTTTCTTTAGAAGTGATTCATTTTCTCGGTTTAGCGAAATGGATAATTACTCTTTGATATGTATGAGAGCGGCAGGAAAATTTCAAAAGATCCTGCGAATCTAAAAAAAAAAAAAAAAAAAGAAAATAAAAAGGACGGTTTGATTAAAATACAAAGATAAAGATCAGATGGGCGCACTCTCTGTTCCGTCATAGTTCAGTGAATGAAAAAAACCGAAGAACCTGTCATCTTTCCCAGCCTTGGAACAATGACAATGAAGAAATAAAAGAAGTAAAGATTAAAAAAAAGACGTGGACATAGTAAAAATGTTCTTTGAAAATATTTCAGTCAATATATATAAAATAAAAATATCAAATAAAACACTTGATAACTCTAATAATATTTCTGCAATTATGAAATTGAAGTAGGAAAGTCTATAAGAGGTATAACAAACTCGAAAGAAATTATTTTTTTGCATTGACATTCTGTCATTCATTTAGCCCGCTATTCACAGTATTCGTTATTTCTTTAAAATGTCCAAATACCAAGTTTTAATCGAGTGGCTAAATTGCGAATACTGTACTTTCTGATACACTCATTAATTACACAACTTTTTCTTTGAAATTTAACCGGAACCATGTTGACATATTACAGTAAAATCTGTGTAAATGACAACAAAGGGTTACTCTAAATTCTATTTCAAAACCGCATTCCTTGGTATACATAATGAAACTAAACGGCAGTAATGTGGAATAATGCTCTCTGAATATGAGATTCAGAATTTCGGTACAGTGAGCCTTAAATGGATATTTTAGGCTATAATTTTATAAATCCGTTATTTTTAATCAGATTTCCTTGTTTCTTCGTTTTATAGAAAAACTATTATGTGAGCAATGAATATATTGTCATAAATAATATATGAAAATACAAAAATAAATGACAGTGTGGTAGATAACGTGAGAATATCTTATTATAAAATTCAGTTTTTTTTTTCGATCATTAGAAATTCTTGTTTTAGCTTCTAAATACTATATATATATATATATATATATATATATATATATATATATATATATATATATATATATATATATATATATATATATACGCTAAATAAGATATTATGATTTATGTTTTTTTATCTTAATAAATTTGAAATTTGGTTCATTCTACTGAAAAACCAGTTTCTCGAAAACTGGTAGATTTTTTAATGTAAATTTCAGAAAATGTCAATATTATTATACTTTCCGAGAGCAAAATAATATTTTTTTCTTATACTTACATGATATAGGATTCAGAATTTCAACATAAAATTCAGTATCAAATTATTTTATCTTAGCTTATTTTTTAAACGCTTTCGTTGACTCATACCGGTTAATTCTCGTCCATGAATTGTTCTTTATTTACCTTTTAGTTCTTCATTCTTATAATTGATAATTTCTTTACTGAACATTTTACCAACTTTTTCCTTTCTTTTACATTTTATTTGATACATAACTTATGAAAAAAAATTAACGTTTATTGTTATTCTGTTCATAATAGTTATTATAATTTACTAATAATTAATTATAATTAATAATTTAAGTTTACCTCCGAGTAACAGGTAGTGAGAAACGTCAACAAACATTAATTGCGAAGGGCCTAAAGTCAACGGTGCGACTATTGTTTGTTAATTATTGATGTAGACATTGCAATGAAGATTTTCGAACAATTTTCAAAGAATGGATTGAATCTAAAAATTCGCAGTGGAGGGAATGCACAGAATTACAATGGAACTTCCAAAATTACCTAAAATGTGAAATGGTTCCCAATGAACAAAATAAATGTTGCTTTTTTCGTATTTCTATCCTCTAAAAAGTGAAAAAGCATTTTATTGGACATTAACAAAGATTTTATAATAATTCTGTGAAAACTGAAATTATTGGTTAGCCAAATTAAGGTTATATTGTACATATTTTTCAATACTTTAATTAACTTCAACAACAAGAAAATCTGACCTTGGATAGCATAGGCCTTATTGGATTTTGGTAGTTTTAGTCAACAGAAGAACATAAAAAGTATTATCTCCATTTGGTTCCACTGTGTGCAATCCGTTATGGAGAAACTTTTCATTCAAAATCTAATTCTTCATTTTCCATTACGTTCTACGACTTTCTGTTTAGATATTGTATTTTTTTCTAAAATTTTCTGCTTTCGAATGATATATTATAAGGTATCTTTTGACTATTATTTCCGAAGATTCATTTTTTAGCTTAATAAATATTTTTCCTGTTTTCTCCTTTATTCAATAATCAAATTTTTAAAAAACTTATAATTAGCTTGTTTTCGTTATTTATATGAATGGGAAATAGTTAATTGTTTAAAATAAACCAAATTAAAGGTACTTTAGAGGAAGACATGTTGAACATTGGGCATTTAAGCCCTGTAAAGGGACATCAATGCTGGAAAGATCTAAATGATATTAAAAACCACTTAATTACACATCCATATACCGAGTTTAATCAAAATCGTTATTTTGAGAAAATTTCAAAAATGTGTTTTATCGATTCTATGAAGTGCCACTTCCGGTTAGCCGATTTTGACAAAAACGTTGGTGTAACATCTGAATCACATAAAAACCTTTATACAATTTCACATTCGTACGACTTTTGGTTTTTGAGCTTGTGATAACATATACACAGATACACAGACCATTTTGCGGGACTAGGTTATTATGACTCAGGAGAACTCGTATTTCACAGGTGAACGTGTATTTCCGTTGAAAAATCACATTCGAAAATTTTTAAGATCTCAATACTTTTCCTTACTATTTATTACATATGTAGGTAAGTGAAAGTAAAAACGGTTGAAAATCTAAATAAATGTTAGCTAAAGGAAATTTTGATTTTATACAAAATAAAATGGAAGAAAAAATAAAATTTTTGTGTTCGAGTTGAAAGGTTAAGTTTACCTAAATTTATTTACATTTTTTTTTAAGTAGTAACTTCTTGGAACTGTATAATATCAACTCGAGTTATACTCCCGATAAGTAGCATAAAATTACTAGTAGGATGTGATTCTAAGACGTTTTGCATACGTAGAGGAGAGTGTAAGGTATTACTGAGTTTCTCTGAATTCTTATCATAGGTATCTCCAACTTGTATTATCCTCAAAGCCTTATCTCTGTTTAACCCGCATCCACAGTTGTGACCATTCTTAGCCACGAATAGAGGAAGATGCAAGGTGCTATTATAGGTGGTATAGAAATAGGTTAACAGGTTACAACCTGATTTATAATTTATAAAATGTTTCCTACAAATTTTCTTCTATTCATAAAAAATAAAAATAATAACTTCATTATCAATATTTAAGTATCACTATATTTTCTTGTATTATTGATTAACTATTATGCCCCAGTGATTAACCTAATATAACTATCCATCTCCCTAAACTTGTTTTATCAGCATACGACGGTAGAAGAATAAGTTGGGATATCATCTGTATAAACTGTGTAAATGAAGGAGCCTAAGATCCCTTGAGGAACACTAGTAGACTGGAAAAAGAGACGGAATACGCAGAGTTATAATTTATTTTTATGGTTCTATCTCTGAAGTAGAAACGGATTAAAAGAAAATATGTAGGGAGCAGGAATTGGCGGAGTTTGACCAGCAAACCTGCAAGCCAGCCTCGTTCAAAAGCCTATTCGACATCGATAAAAGCTGCGGTGCAGCATATTCCGCTCTCCAGTATCGAAGAAATAGCATCCATCACACGATGGAACTGCTTAGTTGTGGGATGAGATGTTCGATATTCAAACTGATGGTCAGGAATGAAATGATTTGAGTCTAGGATTTGTTAAAGACTTTTTATCATAAGTTTTTCTAGTATTTTGCCTATGATGGGAAGCAGAGAGATAGGGCGGGGAGAGGCTGGATATTCAGTGACTTTATAGGTTACAGAACACAAAATTTAAAGTAACAATTTACTTAGTTAGTGATTAGCTAGTCACGCGAGGGGCGGGTGGCCGAATGGGCTAAAGCGTGTGCACAGCACCGTGTGCCTGGCAACCGGATTGAGAAGATTAAAAACTACTTTTTAGTAAGAGTTCGCGTCCCGGCGCCACAGGGGATTTCAAATTCCCCACCCTCACTCCTTGGCCCGGGAAAATCACGCATAGCCTAAAAGGCGAGGGAGGAAAGAACAGAAAAAAAAATAGGAAGATTAGCTAGTCGCATTGGAAATTATCCCTTCAATTTAATAGTTCAGCAACAAGACATGGGTATCCCTGAACTTATACTCCCTCAAGACCTATTTGTCTGGTGCATTATATACTTGTTTGGTAGTTCTATCATGAAAAGTATAGAAGTCTATTACTGAGAGTATAGAAGCCACAGCTTGATATTATATATATTTATTTAATATATTAAAAAAGTTTCTTTGTATTTAATCCAAAGTGCTCAAAGGGATCACAGAGCTATTCTCCTCCATGCTCCTCTCCTAACTAAAACTATCGGACATCCCCCTGCTCCTTGGCTGACACCCGCTCTGAGAGAGTGCATGAGAAGAAGAGATGCTGGAAGACGGCGATTTAAACGTACCCAACTCACGGAAGACTACTTCGCCTTCAAGCACCTTCGAAACAGCACCCAGTCTGCTATACGCCGAGCCAAATCCCGTTATTTCCATCATTCCTTATCCAACACCCCAAACTCCGAGGCCAAATGGGCTATCCTAAAAAAACTGACAATTAGTAACACACCTCAAACCCTGCTCATTTCCTTTTCTGCCGATGACCTTAACGCTCACTCTGTCACCGGTTCCTTCTCATCCTCACCTCCTGCTACCATACCGGCTCCTATGTGTTTCCCTTCTAATTTTAATCTTGATCACTTCTTTTTTCCCATATTACACCTGATGACCTCCTTAACTCCATTCAGAAATCGCAAACCAGTGATTATGGACCTGATAACATCCCAGTTAGACTGATCAAAGCCACACTACCATCCACCCTTCCAATCCTCCAGCATATCTACAATTACTCACTACAAAATGCTACCTTTCCTACATCCTGGAAAACCGCTCTAGTCCGCCCTATGAAGAAGGCTTTCAATCCATCAACTCTTAATGATTTCCGTCCAATTTCTCTCCTCTCAAATCTTTCCAAACCTATAGAGCGACTAGTTCAAACCCAGATATCCGACTTTTTAGAACAGAATAATTTCCTTAATCCCAACCAGTCCGGCTCCCGACCCGGCTACTCCACTCAATCTGCCCTAATCGAAATTTCCCAAGACATTCATACAGCCATGGACCAGCAGAAACTCACCAACCTAATTCTCCTTGAATTCTCCAAAGCCTTTGACTCAGTATACCACAATATTCTCCTAACCAAGCTTAAAAATATCTCCTTTTCAACTTGTACCCTTAATTGGTTCTAATCCTTCCTTTCCGGCCGCTCCCAGTATGTTGGAATCCCCAATAACCCCTCATCAGAACCTTTACGTTTGTCCAGGGCTGTCCCACAAGGCTCCTCTTTATCTCCTACCCTTTTTTCCATCTACATCAATGACCTTTCATCCTCTATCCTACACTGTCAATACCATCTGTAAGCCGACGACGTTCAGATTTACCTCTCCTTCAATCCGACCGAATCCTGTGACGCCATCCAAAAATTACAGGAAGATATAAACGCAACATGTGCCTGGGCAAATCACAATAAGATTACTCTAAACGCGAAAAAGACGAAAGCCACCCTGATTGGATCACCATCACTCCTCAAATCCTTATAGACATTCCCCAATCTTTTCCTGAACAACTCACCTATCTCATTACGTACACCCCCGTAAAAAACCTTGGTGTTACATTTGATCAAACCTTCTCCTGGAAACCACACATCTCCCAAATTTCCCGTCGTTCTATCTCTACCCTGAAACAGTTTAACCGTCTCCTCATTCCATATAAATCCCGTCAACTCCCGGTTTCCTCCCTTGTGTTTCCCCACTTCGAGACAATTCGAAGCCAAACTTAAACGCCTAATGAACTGGGCAATATGTTATGTTTTCGGAATCTCAAGAGAAACCCATATAACCCAGTATTACACCAAGTTGAAGTGGCTCTATCCATCCAACCGCCATCTGTACTTCCTTGCTACCTTTCTATACCAAGCCATCAGAACTCACAGCCTACAATATAAATATTAGATTTAATCCCGTCTCACGAGATCTCGTACATCCGACCTCTATCCACCTTCTCACGGAACTGCTGCGTTTAACAAATCCTTTCTAATTCAAGCCGTCTCTTTCTGGAATACCATCCCTCCCGATATCCGACATTTACAACCAGTTTTCTCTTTTAAATCTCTCCTCTTTAAGCAACTACTCCTTTCCCATCCCGATTGATCATGAAATGTAGATAAGAGAACTTTTTAAAGTTCCCCCAGAAATGATTTTCTTTACTTATGTTATTTTATTTTCATAGGTTTGCATTATACATATCAGTATGTTTTTAGTGTTATTGTTTTATTCTTTTTCGAAAATTTCAATCTTAATAAATAATTAATTTTATTCATGACAACACAGGCATTTATTCTGACAACAGTCCTAGTATAATAAAATAAGTATTTTCATTTTATTTCATGACCTTAATATCCCATTTATCGTAGACCTCATCCCAGCAAAATCTTCCAAATTTCATCAGAACTAAACCTATCATCCAAATCCCTTTGCACAATCACTATCCAGCACCACCCATCCCTCTGGTCTTATTGTAAAAAGTATGTATGTGTATGTATTTATTCTTTTTTATTTATTTATTTTTAGGTTATTTTATACTTATTTATTGTATATATATTATTTTTCTGTATAATTATTTTTTTCATTGTACAGATTGTGAATATGATCTCTGATCACTATTATAAATGTCCTTTGAGACAGATCGTAACATTTCTAAAAAAAAAGTTTGTTAAGACTGACATAAAAAATAATTTTTAAACCTATCCGTCTGAGTTTTGAAACGTCTGAATGTTTCAATGACTTTTTTAAATACTGTTGTAGGTATTTAAGTATCAACGATGAGATTCGTCATTTCTCTTTGAAATTCGCTTCATTCATCGAAATTCATTTAGTACCAAAATAAATAATCGATACTACCGTATTATAGATAGTGTTGATTGTAAGGCTTACCACTTCCTTTCATAGTAGATAATACATCTTCATCCACGTCAAAGAGTATTTATTGAGAACAATTGAAGGGTAATGTGAATAAAAGTGATTAGAAACACATTTAAAGTTATGAGAAAATGGAACCCAATTTTTGACAGTGATATTTTTAAAATTAAGTTGATGTATAAAATGTAAATGGTAAGAAAAGTATATCATTTATTTAAACAAAAAAATATATATACCAGGCCTATAGCGTGCCCCGTATGTAAAGGGAAATATTTAAATTAACAGTTCCATAGTTTAAAAAAAATCAACTATTGGTTTATTTTTTTTTTTTATTAAAACATAAAAATTTGGATTATAAATACTTAGTTGTGTGTGTGTTTAAAACAATAATTCATTATCATGATGATACAATTTTGAAAAAGCATTATTTTTTTAAACGTACTTTTATCCATAATTAATTTATTATAATTTCAAATGAAAACGTAGTAAAGAATGTTATTTCTGCTGAAAATATAGATACTTTGTAGTCAAATGTGTCTGTGACACACCACATCCAAACATTTTGGATCGTTAAAGCTTATCCAACAAGAAAGTTTATATAAAATTGTTGATATATGTAGTTCAGTTTTAGCAAATAAGTAAAAAAAATATCGCGAAGAAACCACAATTTATTGACACCAGGACTAGAGTAAATTTGCCGTTCATAAGTCTCTTTTGCATCGTTATGACAAAGAATCAAACTCAACTTACTTTTGAAAGAAATTTTGTAAAGTTTACAATAAAGTAATTTTTAAGTACCTGAATAAAATATTTTTTTAGTTGTTAATTTCTATTAAAGATAAAACGTGACTTACTTAAAAAAATAACACATAAATTTCCTGATTTTCTGTTCTAGATCAAACTATAGTTTACATAAACTTTTTTTTCCTTAAATATTCCTCTTTACTTATGGGACGCCATGCACATTTCTATATATTTTTAAAATCATTATATTACGAATATTATCAATATGAGTACTCACCGATAGTAGTCAAGATAGTCAGGGAGTAGAGGAAAGCTCGACCCAACGTCCATTCCACTTTTTCGGCTTGCTTCAATTCATTGGCTGGTTGAGCGTGATAAGATATCTCCTCCGTGATTCGTTTGACAAGAGTCTCTTGGAACCTGTTAATCTCCTGAGCCGCCAAGCGCGTCCAGTTTTCTTTGTAGAGTATGTTGAGACTGACAGTAATTTCCCATATATTTTCCACAGTTTTGGATCTTGGTTCGTCTCCCAGCCTCTCCAGCCAGGAAGAACTGTTGAATCTTGGGGAGACGCTGGCAAATGTTGGTCCTACATTTTTATAGCTCATAGCATAAAATACTGAACCACCTTCAATTGCCAAGAATATTATAGCTCCTAGGAAAGTGTAGCCGACGAGGATGAGGCATATTGTCATGTTGCTGAGACATCCCCTGGCAAGTTTCCTTTTGGTGTACTTTAGTCTAATCTTTTCTGTACTATCGTCATCACTTTCGAAGCAAAAGCAGGACGATCTCTCTTCGTCAGCAATTGCTGGAGCCACAATCTGCGAACCCGTTACGGCGCTTCGGCCGGCACCGATCCCGGTGCTACTGTAGGGCCTCTCATTGTTACGCTTTTCCATTTTCATATGAGTTCAATTTTCTTCTGTTTACATAACTGAAACACACACAAAAAAATACAAAATTTTTATATGATTCAATACAAGAAAAATGAGAATATGATTTATTTATTTTTTATTCACACTGTTCATTTGTATTATATAATTATTTCGTTACTTGATTCACCTATGGATGTATATAGCTAAACCATAATCTAATATGAAGAGCATTAATATGAATGGATTGTATCAATTTGGGTATTTTTGGAGGATATTGGTAAAATAACTGCAATTAATAAGGCGCCAGAATCAGGGTTAAAGATGGTATAGGGTTAAATTTCAGAGGTTTAGGGTGGAGGATTGTCAATTAAGGTCTATTGCTAATAAATAAAATGTGTTATTGCCTCAACTAGCTGGCTTGTGAAATATATGGTGCTTATCAGCTAAGATTTTCAATAAAGTGATACCTATAGTTGCTTACTTTCCTGTTCAGAGATTCGTTATATAAGGGTGAGGATATACAAAAATGAATTATCATTATTTTTTACGATTTGTTTTAAGGTTAAATGAATAATAAACTGTTGGGACATATCGACACATAATGATAACAAAATTTGATGGCCTAGGATATACTTTAATCTAATATTCGTGTTAAAGATTAAGAAATGAAAACTCATTGGAAAGTATTATGGAAAGCATTTTAACAAAGAATTACTTAAGCTGGAAGTGAACCAATTAGATATGTCGATGGGCTACCTGTGGGAAGACCTGGGTTATAACGGGAAAGTAGATCATCCTGTATTCGGAAAGCCAAATATATCTAAAAAAAATAAAATGAAAAACACCATATAAAATGTCTATAAAACATAAAATATAAAAGAAAAGTTTTAATCTCTCGATACTACTGACTTGCTCTCTGCCGCCCTTGAATCCAAAACGAACTATTATAGTACTGAACAAATGCATGTTAAAATTATCAAACTCTGCGTTCCAGCTTTACTTCCTGTACTTCTATTCCTATATAACTTCCCTCAAAATTTAATTTTTCCCAAAATCCTGAAAAAAAAACCATAGTCCGTCCATTGAATAAAGTCCCTACTTCTTCATCAGCTCCAGACTTCAGAGACATCTCCATTTTATCCAATCTATCCAAGCCTCTAGAAAGATTAGTCCACTCTCAGTTGATCTTTTTTCTCTAGCAAAACCTTCTACTCAATCCTATACAATCTGGTTTCCGTTCCCATTATTCCACTCAGTTTGCCTTGCTAAAGATTACCTGCAATCCACCATAGATAAACAGATAATCACCATTCTAATCCTTTTTGACTATTCCAAAGGATCTTTGGGATCCCCAAGCGCTCCCGTGTTTCATTCAGGTACACCAAGTGGTTTTATCCTACTTCCCCATGTCAATCCTTGCTTGGTATGTTCCTTTTGCAAGTCCTCAGAACCAAAAACCCTTCCTACATAGAAGAACTCCTTACTTTACGTTCCTTTATCCTCTCTCTCAACCAGGTCAATACCAGGTATCAATACCAGGTCTCAACCTATAAATTTATATATCCTCTCCCACAAAACTACTTTGTTGAAATGAAATGAAAATAGATTTTTATTATTCCGGGGATATTGTCTCTTTAGGACAAATTATAGATACAGAGAAATAGCCTGTGGGGCCATAAAATTAAATTAAATATTTACAATTCAAATTAAAATTAAAATTTTCGAAGAAAATTAAAACAAAAACACGAAATATATACAGATATATATAATACAAACATATGAAAATAAAATAATATAAGTAAACAAAATCATTTCTGGAAGTTAAAAAGCTCTCATATCTACTTTTCTTGATCAGTCGGGTTGGGAAAGTAGGTGCTTAAAAAGGAGAGATTTAAATGAGGAAACTGATTGCGCATGTCGGATATCGGGAGGGATGGTATTCCAGATGGAGACGGCTTGAATTATAAAGGATTTGTCAAACGCAGCAGTTCGGTGAAGAGGTAGGTAGAGGTCAGAAGTACGGGATCTAGTGGGACGGTATTTAATGAAATATTTAAATTGTAGGCTGTGAAAAATATAGGAAGGCCGCTGAGTTCTGATGGCTTGGTATAGAAAGGCAGCAAGTAAGTACAGACGGCGGTTGGATGGATAGAGCCATTTCAACTTGGTGTAATACTGGGTTATACATTTGCCCAGCTAAGATCTTGTAAGGAACTTCGTTTGGATCCATCCTTATGACGTGACCAGCCCAGCGAAGTCGTGATACCTTTACGAATGTTGATACGTCTATTTCTTTGTACCCCGCTCTTAACTCAGATATAAAATTATGAAGTTTAATAGAAATATTTAAATTGTATGAATAATTACTTTAATTTTTTCAAGTATGTATTCTGTTGCTCTTACATATCTGGATTTTTCCTATATCCGGATCTCTTCCACCCACAATAGTCCGGATATGGAAGAGTATACTGTAAGATTGAAATGGAACGATAAATAGGACGAGGGAATTGAAAAAAGTGTATACGATATGTATGATATCCATCGGAGAATCAGCGAGAGGATTGGTGCTGAACTCTCCAGCTTTGAATACATTCTAATGTTCTTCAAGCAGGTTTCTATATATATATATATATATTGCATATACCAAAGGTAACATTAGTATATACATATCATATATGTATATGTTGCGTTTGGTGGTTAGATTATGTTCACAAAATAAATTTCTTCACAATTAACAAGGTCTCAGAGAATACCATTAAATCATAGCCTAACATACCATTTATTTACAGCCAGAAAATCTAAATTAAAAATACATATATTCTATTTACCTAAACTAAAAAGAGAATAAATAAAGTATTATTTGCAGTCATAAATAAAGTATATGATGAACAGCATGTAACAAATTACCCATCTGCTTTCTTTAATATATCATATGAGCTATCTATAAACTATCTATATTATTACTTGTATTTTAGTTATTCTTTATTGTAATAGGTTTTTTGGCCAGATTTTTTGTTAATTTGGATGAAAATACTGTTATTCTTAAGGAACCTAGTTCCAGAATAAAGATAATTTTCTATTCTATTCTATTTGATCGAACTTTAAGAGAAATATGAAATTCTTTAATTTTACTTTTGCCATATAACCGGCAGATTTTGAAAAATATTATATATATAAAGTATGTTAAAATTTTATATACATATCTCAGGATTTGTATACATGGTCTTGAAAATCATATTTTACAAAATATGCCGGTAATATGCCATTAGTTAAATTAAACAATTCCATATCTTTCAGTTACATCTTTTTTCTAAAGTAAATGATTAAATTAAATTTTTTGGTTATATTAATATATTAAATGTATTTATATATTTTTTAATTTAGATTACACTGGCTATTAAAGATCGCCTTGTACATTCTAAAACACCATTGGAAGTTAGGTAATTTATTTTGAGATCGTAATCTAGCCACCAAACACAAAAAACTGTTCTAATCTAAACCTAATTATTCTTTTTATCGTATTCAGGATGTAATAACCGGGTTTCACTGTAGGTCACACGCAATATTCCTCTCTCCATCAGCTATATATAGTATTGATTCGCCATATGTTATAAAAAATATATAAGAAAAAAATGCTTTAAATATAAATCAGCAATTAATTCGATATAATAAAATGAATATAATGTAAACCAGGATATCAGAAGGTTTGTTGGTATCGTTTCAGTCAAAAGTAAATTTAGAGACAACGAATTTTTAAAAAATTCTTTTTATTAACCTAACAAAAATGTGGAACATTAGATTAAATTTGCAATCTACAAATTTCTTTGCAATAAGCAAATTTTTTGGCAGCGTCACAACTTCCCATCACGTCCGGGATATAAATCAGATCAGCAGGTCTCTTGGCCAACGCCTACGTAATCGTCGTAGTGGGCTGTACGGGTTTCTTGTACATGAAGGATTTCTGTCAGAGGTTTCATGTTGTACGTCAGTCTTTGGTGAAACTTATTGTAGTTCTCTTTTGCAGTATCTAAAATTGTAGGTACGCTTAAGTCTTTTTGTAGTGTATCATTTGTGACATAAAACGGTGCGTCAACTATCCTTCGCAACACTTTTGACTGAAAGGACTGAACTTTTTTAATGTTGGAAGTTTTAGCAGAGCCCCACAGTTCTATGCCGTAAGTTCAAATAGGTTTAAGTAAGACTTTATATAAAGGGTTAGTTTGTTAGTTAAAAATAATTTTGAACGTCTGTCAAGTAATCTGGATAAGACACCGTAACATCTGTTTAATTCTATTCGTTTTTGTCTGATATGAGTCCTCCAAGTAAGTCTTTTGTCCAGGTAAAAACCTAAATACCTAATTACATCTGATGTTGGGATTTGAATGTTATTAAAATATATTTCAGGGGAAGGTTTATGATTAAGAGTGAATACTACATGCACACTTTTTTTTTCATTCATCTTAATTTTGCACCTTGTTGCCCAATCTGTAATATCGTTCAGATGATTTTGAAGGTTGGTAGATGCTCGAACAGGGTTTTTATCTTAGCTTAGGATTGCGGTATCGTCTGTAAAAGTAGCATTGTGTCGTTGTGTTCCGGTAGGTCATATATATATATATATATATATATATATATATATATATATATATATGTATATATTAAACAATATTGGTCCAAGGACACTACCCTGAGGCACTCATGCTTTAATAGGTTTGATGACAGAACGTTCTGTCCCTACTTTTACTACAAAATGTATATCCGTTAGATATGAAAGTAATATTAGATAGTAGGTCGGAGGAAGTAAAATTTTAAGTTTGGAAAGCAATCCTTCATGCCAAACTATATCAAAGACTTGACTAATGTCAAGAAAAACTCCAAGGCAATAATTTTTAGATTCTAAAGAATTAGAAATATAATCTACCAATCGATGACATTGTTGAACAGTTGAATGATGCTTTCTGAAGCCGAATTGATGATTTGGAATAAATTTAAATATATCGAGAGAATCAAGGTGCGAAGAATAATTTTTT